ATTATTTGAGTGTGTCTTCACATCTGCCACACAGCGAGTCCTCCACGACGGAGGTGTACTGCCAGCATCGCGGGCATTTGTGATGCTGAGTAGGCACAGCCTCAGCAACAACAGCCCCGTCCAAACTGGTGCTTTCGTACTTCCATTCAAGCACTTCACCCTCCACTGGGGCCTTGTTGACAGAAACCTGTGAACAAATGAAAAACTCGGCGAGGTGAGAACTGTACCTATCACTAGCAATGATGGTCTTGTAAACCTCGCTGTCTTCCTTGATTTGCAGGCGCACGTCGCAGGTCAATGAACTAGTGATCTTCTTTTCAATGCGGCCCTTTTCCATGGCCTGCTTGACAATAGAAATGAGGTTTTCCAGCAACGGCAGCTCCTTTTCAAGTACAGCGCTTTCGTACTCAGCAGGTAGTTGAGCCCATCCTTGCTTAAAAGGCGAGTCACTGATCTTACTGAAGTGAGCATAGTCCCAGGCCTCCTGCGTCAACAGGGGCGTTATGGGAGAAAGAATGGAAAGGTACACGCGTAAGATTTCAGAGAGGACAAACTGGACGGAGCGGCGCGCGTCACTATTGGCAGGTGCAGCATAAAGACGATCCTTGATAATGTCAAAGTAAAACGCGGAAAGATGAGAATTCGTGTGATAATTAATAGTTTGCACAACACGGTTGAATCCGTAAGAGGCGTATTGGTCCTTAACGATCTCGGTCATCTTTTTGAGTTGATGCAAGGCAATAAGATCAATGGTGTGCATCTTTTCAGGCTGGAAAGAAAATTTGCTGGCATCAAAGTCGTTCAAACTGCCAAGCAAGAATCTCAGAGTAATACGCAGCTTCTTGAGGTTCTCAGCAACATTCTTGAGAGACTTGGATCCAACAGTGACGTCCTTAGTATAGTCCGAAGAAGCGGCCCAGAGTCTCAGTCCGTCAACACCGAGAGCAGGCCATTGTCCCTTCTTGCCCTCAATAACGGCATCTGGTGAAATAGTGTTGCCAAGTGACTTGGACATCTTCTTGCCCTTATCATCCAAGGTGAATCCATGAGTGATAACAGTCTTGAATGGCGCGATGTACTCACCCTCCTTGGAGGCAGCAATTTTTGTGAGCAAAGAAGACTGGAACCAGCCACGATGCTGGTCACTTCCCTCAAGATAATAGTCCGCCAGATGGGGCTCATTAGGACGTTTCTCAAGCATGGTCCAACTGGTACCACTGTCAAACCACACGTCCATAGTATCCTTGCCCTTGAAGTACTCAGTGCCTTTGCCCTTGTACTTTTCAGGAAGCCAATTCTCAACGTTCTCCTCTTCAACAAACCAAGCGTCGGTACCCAGCTCAGAAATCTTACCAATGATAAAATCCATGGTCTCAATATCAGTCAAGGGTTCCTGTGTTCCTTTATGGTAAATGGCAGGAATGGGAACTCCCCAGACTCTCTGACGTGAAATGCACCATTCGGACCGGGATTGTGTGAAAGTTTCTAGACGCGTGCGGCCTTGGGGAGGGTAGAATTCAACGTCCTTGAGCGATTCAACAGCGTGCTTTTTGATTTCGTCAATATCAGCAAACCACTGAGGGGTAGCACGAATGATGATGGGCTTCTTTGAGCGCCAGTCGTAGGGATATTTATGGCGAAAGCGTGGGTTGCAGTTGACCAGAATCTGCTTTTCCTGGAGGATCTCTATGATCTTCTTCTGGCCAGCACCAAGAACATACAGTCCCTCAAGCTCAGTACAGCCATCGGGGAGGTCCGAAGTGTATTTGCCCTCACTGTCGACGGGGGAGTAAGTGTCGATGTTGTAACTCTTGCAGAGCAGGTAATCATCAAAACCGTGGCCTGGTGCTGTGTGGACTAGACCTGTACCAACAGTGGAAGTGACGTAAGTAGCAGGAAGAATAGGGTGATGATGCTCGGCGCTCTTGATGGGGTTGTAGTACGTGGTATTCAGAAGGTCGGCGCCGCTGAACTGGACATCAAGTATAGTCCAGTCCTCAGCCTTAACCTTCTCAGCAAGGTCTGACGCAACAACAAGATAGCCATGCTCACTTGAGTGCAAAAGTGTGTAGGTCATATCAACATTAACGGCAACAGCCTTGTTGGAAACGAGGGTCCAAGGCGTGGTGGTCCAGATGAGAACAGACAGGTTGGCCTCAGAGACTTCTGGTACCTGCTTAGCAAGCACTGCCTTAAGGGATTCACCAATGGTTTTCACAGGGAATTTGACTGTTGCAGACGTGCTGCGGTGTGTGTCATTGTACTCCAGCTCGGCCTCAGCCAGCGCAGTGCGCGTCTGCGTGCCCCAATAGACGGGCTTATTCTTACGGGTAATAAAGCCCTTGTGAATCATTTCCTTGAAGATTTGCAGTTGGCGGACTTCGTAGTCGGTCTGCATAGTTGCGTAGAAGCCCTCCCAGTCGCCCATGACAGCATACCGGCGGAATGACTTTTTCTGATCCTCAATGGCCTCGAGAGCATGGTTCTTTGCGATAGTGCGGATCTCGGTCGGCGACAGCACAGTGGCTACATCCTTTTTGGCCTTTTCGGACAAAATCTGTAGCGCTTTAAACTCAATAGGGAGACCATGGCAATCCCATCCTGGGCGGTAGTTGATCCGCTTGCCCTGGAGCAGATTAAAGCGGTTAATGATATCCTTTGTAATCTTATTCAGAGCATGGCCAAGATGCAGACTTGCGTTAGCAAAGGGCGGGCCATCATGAAAACAGGAGACCCCCTTCAACGAGTCTGATTTAGTTTGCCATGAGTACAGGTCGTCAGCGACACGAGCAGTAAGCTTCTTGATGGCCTCGGGGGAGCCGGATCGGTTGGGAAAGTCGGTCTTAGGCAGCGCAAGAGTCTTTGCAAACGAGTGTGCGAGATCTTTGCCGCCCGCCTGGGAGGCAAATGCGCGCTTCGCAGCCAGCTGTTTGAGCATCATTATGGGCAAGACAAATGAGTGCTGGCAGTATGTCTAGTGAATGTTTTGAGTGGGTAGGAAGACGAGAAATCGGGCGTCGCGCAAGTTCCGTGAAATTTCAACGGGCCCAGGGCTAGGGCTTCTCCATACAAAATTTTTTTTAGATTTTTCACTTTTTCTTCCTTTTTTCAAACCCCCCAGCGAATCACCGTTACAGGAGATCACCACCTTACCTGCTTCGAAGAGCCTTTAGATCATCCCCCCGCAGCCATGTTCAGTCGATTCAGTTTAGTAGCCAGACCTGCGCCCATTTCTGCCGCCCGCGTTGCTGGCCTCCGATGGCTTAGTGCCCAGGCTTCCACCGCCTCTGCTACCGAGCCCGCGCCTGTGCGTAAGACCCTCAAGCCGCTCGACTCGCGCAAGACTTATCTCGTCGACATGTACACTCATCTCATCAAGACCTCGCCTGTCATTCTTGTGCTGCACCACAACAACCTGCTCAAGGCCGATAACAACAACCTGCGCGGTCAGATCAAGAAGGCTGGTGGTACTCTCACTGTGACCCGGTCGAACCTGTTCAAGGTCGCGTTCCGCGGAAAGGACCACGCTGACCCTGCCAGCCCGGCTGCCAAGGCGCAATATGGCCGCCGCGACCAGACCACCCCGTTTAACTCTCTCTTTTCGGGTCCCACGGCGGTGATTACATTCCCCGAGCTCGACCCCAAGAAGGTCAGTAGCGTTCTCAAGATTGTGGATAAGAGCAACAACAACCTCACGCTGCTTGGCTCGTTCATTGACAACCAGGTGTTAACCCTTGATGGTGTCAACAAGTTCAAGACTCTTCCCACGCTGCCCGAGATCAGAAGCCAGCTGGTCGGCGTTCTCAGCATTCTTGGTGGTGCCGGTCTTGTACAGACACTGGAGGCTTCCAGCAAGGTGCTGTACCTCACTATGGACGAGCGCCGCAAGCAGCTCGACCCTACGGAGCAGACTGAGGAGAAGACCGAGTAAGTAGGTTTGGCATGGTTGTCTAAACACAGGACAAATAACAAAAAAAAAAAAAACTGTATGATATGTAAATAAAGAACTGCTATATAAATTAATATTTTCCAAAGACCTGGCGGATGGGCTCAGCACTCTCAATGAACTTGCTGAGGTTGGCATCCAGCGCTTCAAGGTCCTCCTTGCGCTGACGATTCTCCTCAAGAAGCTGAGCTTTCTTTTCAGCGAGCCGCGTCCGGGTGATGTGTAGTTCAAGCCGCCGACGTTCTTCGTCGCGCAGCCGTTCCATCATTAATGTATGTTCATCAGTAATCGTGTCCTTTAGCTCTGGGTTATCCGCGTAAAACTGGTCTAGGTCCACCAGCCCAAGGTTCTCGTGTCTTGACCGGAACCCGTCACACGCGTCGATCTCGCTGCGTAGATGCATATGCTGGTAGTATATGTTCTGAATATCGAGCTGAATACGATCAACGCTAAGCTTCTCAGCTAGCGTGACATCCTTTGTTGCATTGACTTGTTCCTGTACACTCCAGTTCATGGAACGTAGCTCCACGACATCGGCGATCATCTTGCGGCGCAGCTGTGCCAGGATATCACTCTCCTCCGAGTCAGCATCTGCCATGGCGTCAGCATCTCCAGTTTTCTCCAGCCGTGCTAGTAATTCTAGGCATCCTGTCTGTAGCTGTCCAAGATGCGCCTGGACTTTCGCAAGTTCTTCATTTTTTATCAGGTCTTGTGTCATTACTATGCCGGGTGTGTAGTGGTCGATTCGGGTCATGTATATTAGGAAGGAGAGAGATATATGGGAAAAAAAAAAGATTAGGTAAACCGAATGTTGTAGATTATGTAATAAGTTAGTCATGAAATTATTGTTTTACATGACGCTCACCATGGCTATATTCTTTATTTGTTTCTGAATAAAATGGCCTTATCGCCATGAATCTTTTTAAATTAAATGTAGCATATTAAGGGTGATGAAATATACTGTTTCCCAGGCAATTGGCATAATAAATACTCATATCTACAAGGGTCGTTTACAGAGATCTGTCTAGCAAGGCACAAATTTTTGCACAAAAATGCCTCTTTAGCTTAGGGGTAGAGCGTTGCACTTGTATAGTTTATTCGAGATGCAAAGGTCAGCGGTTCAATTCCGCTAGGAGGCATTTACTTTTTGTTTATCTTTTCTTTTTTTAGCTTTGAAAACTACAATGTAATACGCAATTTCTGGATCAATATGGTCCCTGGTATATGGATAATAAACTTATCGTCGTTACATTAAATAGTTACAAACAAAAAACTATAAAACAAAATGGCATACAAAGAGAATATGAATTTCAAAACACTTGTCTTCTGAGACTAGCAACGTAGCAGTGTCAGCACGTATCAAAAAAAATTCAAGCGTTCGATGGCGCTAAATTCTCCACGAATAAATCTATGTATTACGGGAAACCTGGGACGTATAACACCCATTAGATCGATGCCAGAGACTACCGCTCAGGAAAGCTCTAACAAGCTGCTCTAATCAAGCGAGCTGTCAGCAAAGAAATTGGGGTAATGAATCTAAGAACTGGACTACCGCTCTATGGCCCTTCTTGGGATCAAGAGGAATCTTGGGATCAAGCTCCGGGGAAACTTTTCTTAACGAATTTCCAATAACCCCTCATTGTCTAATATGTCTAAGGTTGATTTCTTTTTGGTAAATAATTGTTGATCCAATGAAGGTGAGGGATGTTAGCAGCTGCAGCAGAGGCCCCCGCGTGGGTGGTGGGTTATGACCTGTTCATAAAAATCCTGTAGGGTTGATTTCCTCTAACTCTTATCTGGCGATTTTGTAATTCTTTGTTTTGGTTTCCTGTTTTCTTGCCATCATCAGATACCCCACCATTATTGTTTGTACCTAGTCGATCTAAGGTCAATTAACTGGTTATTCACTCATCACCCCACTAATAAAATTAAACTCACTTCAACAACCATTATACCAGTTCTCCGGCAGGCTCACTAGCTGTTATCTAGACATGGGGTTAACTGTGAGAAAACTATTTAAACAAGACTTTTCGCCCTTTTACATTGGTTTATACAACCATCCAAACCCCAATTGACCTTGTTTCATCATCCCCTTTCTATTATCACTTCTCACCTCCCATTCTATTACCATGGCTGACAAAATTACCCTCAAGACCGTCCCTCTTTCGGACTACAGACCTGCTAAGCCTGCCCCCAAGGATCTTATTGGCGTCAACGCTGCACTTCACGCCGCCAAGGACAGCTCCTATGAAGTCAAGGCTTCTGTTCACGATCAGTTCTCACTTAAGGGAAAGGTTGCTATTGTCACTGGTGCCAACTCTGGAATTGGTCTTGAATACTCAGTTCTCCTTGCCGAGCTCGGCGCCAAAGTTTACGGTATCGATCTTTCTACCACTGAATCCGAGTCGTTCAAGGCCTCCAAAAGCTACGTTGAGCGCCTGAATATCCCCGGAGTCTCTCTTCAGCTTCGCACTGCCGATGTGACTGATGTTGCTTCCATCCAGGGTGCTATTAAAAAGATTGCCGAGGAGAACAATGGCATTCATATTGCTGTTGCTAACGCTGGAATTCTCGGTCTAATCAAGGACGTCCATGTGTACCCTGCCGACGCCTTCCGTAAGGTTATGGATGTTAACGTCAATGGTGCGTTTTTCACCACCCAGGCTGCCGCCCGTGAGATGCTGGAGCGTGGAATCAAGGGCAGCATTGTTGTGACGGCGTCGATGAGTGGCAGTATCATCAACAAAGACATGCACTGGATTCCCTACGTCACTTCCAAGGGTGCAGCTATTCAGCTCACGCGTGGACTTGCATGCGAATTGGGTGACGCAGGCATCCGTGTGAACTCTATTTCTCCTGGTCATGTCCGCACTCAGCTTTTGGAAGACTTTTTGCAAGCTGAGCCTCTTTACGAGAACCAGTGGGCTGCCCAGAACCCAATGGGCCGCATTGGCGCGGTCTACGAACTGCGCGGTGCCCTGGCCTACCTTGCCAGCGACGCCTCGAGCTACACGACGGGTGCTGATTTGCAAGTCTGTGGTGGTCACACCGCGTGGTAAACACTGACGATAATTAGGGGTTTAATGAAACTGAGAAGTGGTGAGGTACCGGTAAAGCATGGTAGCGTTTCTTTGAAACATATATATGATTCTTATGTTAGCGACCTTAAAGGTCTTTCAAATGATTGCAATAATACTTATTTCAAACACAATTAATACTTCAACAGGTTTTGTAGTTGGGGTTAGCACTTTCAAACGGCAGTGGAGGTTTCATTATTTACAGATTGAGTTTACTATTGTGATTGGAATCTATTGTGATCTTTAAACAGCTATATAGTTCGTTAACTCATGTTCAACCACTACAAGGATTTCAGCAAATACCTACTTTTATCATGAATTAATTAAATGCAGCTTAATAATTTAACAAAGTGGCCAAGGCCTTGACCCCAGATACACAGATACCCAGAAAAACGAATGATAATTTGTCAGTTACAATGGTTATTTTGCTAGTCCAGATAACCCTTAGACATCTTGGTTGTTAGCTAAAAAAACAAAAAAAAAATGAAAAAAACCAGTTAGGTATTGATCTCTCTTTTGAGTCAAATCAAAAAGAAAATAATGCTGACCTTGGATTAGGAACAGTATAAAAACTCAATTGCAGCAAAAGTTTTAGGTTTAAGACAGGCAGTGGTTTTTGTCCGGTTATTGGAAGTAAGGCAAATTTAAAAAATAATATGGTGAGTGAGTTAATAACTGGAATGTCTCCCTTCATATTAAATTGTAACCAAAGTTGTAATGCCTTTTACTTAACCTGCAACTTCCAAAAAAATGTTGCTTTATTTTGGGCAATCCGAAGTTTCACATTTTACATCAATCCAGTCCTAAAAAAGATTTTCAAAAAAATAAAAAAAATAAATAAATAAAAAAATAAAAAAACCTCCACGGATCTTGAAAATTTAGATGTTATTACCTGTGAGAGGGGCACAAAAAGTAGTCGACGTCATTCAGCCAATCTGAGTCTGTGTCATTTTACCAAGGTTTATGGAGGTTTCAAAGAAATCATAATGAAATTATCAGCAAGGTTTCTTCACCCAATGGCAAAGCATGAGGGTTTTGAAGTTGGTAATAGTAAAACGGAGTGAATACCGGACAATGGATACTGCAAACAGGAGAGCAAGTAGAAGAATTACCATATGTTTCTATAGACTAAGTGAAACTATGGCATGTACAACTGTATACCCCCATCCTTCCATTTACTAGTATTGGGTAGGCCTAAAAAATCGTGTTTGAATTGGGCATCTCGCGTCTTATTGATGCAGCTCACCGAGATCAACAACAACAATAATTTAACTAAATTTAAAGGCATCAACCTCATAAATAAATGGCTTTCTCCTCTCGAGCTTGTATGTATTTGGAAATGACAAAACTGAGTATGCGTTAAACCGAAGCAGCCGGCAAAACTGTGGGCAAATGATATTGAACGTTTAAAGCAACTTCGGAAGGAAAAATAAAATCTTTGAAAATACAGGATCAAAGGACTGGACTGCCCCACGGTCAGTCGATATATTTCAATGTCCACGGATGTTTTTTTTTTGAGCAAACCTCGATAGCTCAAACTGATACTATTGACTTCATTCAGGTTCACGCGCAGGAATAAAACAGCCCCGCTTGAATGGGCTACTGAGGCCAACCATGATTGTAAAGCTAGGTAGCACAGTAACACGTAATCCAACTTCCTACCAGGTCTGATAATAGTTGGCATATTTGTGTAGCCAAAGCCAGTTACTAAAACACTTAAGAGTCTCTTTTTTCTTTTGTATTGTCATGATATTCAAGTCATGGAAAGATTAACTGGTATAAGTATGAGAGCCATATAAGGCCCTTTTGACCGTGACAAATGAACGAACCCCATGGAAATGGAGGGGGACAAAGAGAGGGGGTATCGGGCGCACAAGAGGGCTTTGCGATAGGTACCTTTTTCACTCTGGATGAATTGAGTTTTATGATTTACTTCTACCCGTACTGCTATTCACCGTTCTCAGTCAACTTTTCCCCACGGCTACATAACCCCACCATTTGTGGGACATTGGAATAAATCTACTGGTAGTCTTCTACGCCGATGGCTGTAATCCTATGCACAATATCCTAATCCCATTTTAATGACAAAATTTTGTATTCTGGTTTTTGCAGAAAGCCTCAGTTAACATATATTTAATAAAAAAAAAATGTGTAATGATTTCAGGTTGGTAGACTTGAGGTTTTACTTCAGATAATTCAAAGCATCCTTTCCCAAAACATAAACAACAGTGTCTTTTCTATTGCTGTAAGATCCTAATGTTGATTAAATTTCATTGAAATAGTAAACAAATTAAAATAGCAGAAATTTACTTTTAAAGGACTTGTTTTGAAGTAACTGATTGACTAAAGCTCTCAGAACATACCAGGAGTTTCGACATCCAATAGCCCCAAATTCTTCATGATTGTTGGGTCATTAAAATCATAGAGAAGACATTTGCTGTATTAACTGTCGAAAGTCAAACAAAATATAACCAACAAAATCATAAATATATAAAATTGTATCGTCTTTATCTAAATAGATATAGATGGATAATCAGTATATTGTACTTATATCAAATATTCACATACAAATCACAAAACAAAATAATGTCTTTATCAAGTCATTTAGAAGTTTTGCGTCAAACAGCACAATCGACCGTAGATCATCTTTAGTTTGGTGTAGGTTTTAAGTTTTAAAGCTTAGATTTGAATTTTCCCATCCTGAGAAAAGCAAAACTGAAAGCAAAAATGAGTTTTCCAAAATAAGGAAATTGTTTAGTTATATCCTTCAAAAGTTTTAGTGATAGATACTAACACTATGGATGTAACAAAATAATATTTTTTGGAAGTTTTCGCTAAACGCATTTCTTCCTTTATGACTTTGTGTAAATAATGCAACTCTGATTTTTAATAAGTTGGCCCGATGGTTTAGTGGTATAATTCTCGCTTAGGGTTTTCTAAGCACGATTGCGAGAGGTCCCGGGTTCAATTCCCGGTTGGGCTCAACTTTTTTTGGTTATTTGGCATAGTCCTGTGCTGGGCGTAAATATATGTCTTAAACACAACGTCTTTTTGACATATTA